TGCTGTCTGCAAACAGAGGAGCAAGGAAGCCAGTAGTGGCTCAGTCCAAGTCCCAAAACCTCAAAAGTAGGGAAGCCGACAGTACAGCCTTCAGTCTGTGGCCAAAAGCCTGGGAGCCTCTGGCAAACCAAACCACTGGTGTAAGTCCAAGAGTCCAAAAGCTGAAGAACTTGGAGTCTGATGTTCAAGTGCAGGAAGCACCCAGCACGGGAGAAAGATGAAGGCCAGAAGCCTCAGCAAGTCTGCTATTTCCAACTTCTTCTGCCTGCTTTTATCCTAGCCATGCTGGAAGGCTGATTAGAGGGTATCTACCCATACTGAGGGTGGGTCTGCCTCTCCCAGTCCACTGACTCAAACATTAATCTCCTTTAGCAACACCCTCACAGACACACCCAGGAACAGTACTTTGCATCCTTCAATCCAATCAAGTTGACATTCAATATTAACTGTAACTGGGATTACAGGCACCCACCACCAGGCCTGGCTAATTTTTGTATTTTTAGTAGAGGCGGGGTTTCACCATGTTGGCCAGGCTGGTTTCGAACTTTTGAACTCAGGTGATCCACCCATCTCAGTCTCCCAAAGTGCTGGTATTACAGGCGTGAGCCACCGTGCCCAGCCGGTAATTAGGTTTAGATGAGGTCAAGAAGAGGAGCCCCTATGATGGAATTAGTGACCTTATAAGAGACACTAAAGAGCTTGCTCTTTCTCTCTGTGCCACATGAGGACACAGTGAGAGGGTGGCCATCTGCAAGGCAAGAGGAGAGCCCTCACCAGGAACGGACCCTGTGGACACCCTGATCTCAGACTTCCAGCCTCCAGAACTGGAAGAAAATACATTTCTGTGGTTTATGTTTACGTTGCACCCAGTCTATGGTATATTGTTATGGTACCATGAGCAGCCAATGCAATATAAAAATAGTCACTAGTCAATGACACAAAACTCCCAGACTCTAAGATACACACCCTACAGAGCAAACAGATTAAATAGTGAGATATTTTGAACATAAATATGCAGACAGCGCTAAAACCAAACATATTTTCTCCTATCCATAAGTCTAAAAATGGGCTAATCTTCCTATGAAGTCTTAGATTGAATAATGAAGCAAAACCATCATAAACTGTGGACAAGAGACGAGATTCATCCAAACACAAAGAGATTCAGGAAGGTTCATCCCTTCCTCCTTTCCACTAAGGGGAATTAAGCATTTCCTATGGGCTGGCACTATTTCCTTTTTTTTTTTTTTTTTTTTTTTGAGTTGGAGTCTCTCACTCTTTCACCCAGGCTGGAGTGCAGTGGTGTGATCTCAGCTCACTGCAATCTCTGCCTCCCATGTTCAAGTGATTCTCCTGCCTCAGCCTCCCGAGTAGCTGGAATTACAGGTGCCCACCACTGTGCTGGGCTAATGTTTTGTATTTTCAGAAGAGACGGGGTTTCCCCACATTGGCCAAGCTGGTCTTGAACCCCTGACCTCAGGTGATCCGCCTGCCTCGACCTCCCAAAGTGCTGGAATTACAGGCATGAGGCTGGGCTGGCATCATTCTAAGCACCCAGGTTGGATTCATGCATAGACAAATCCTGTCCTTGTGGAGCTTACGCATAATCAAGCAGATGATTTCAAGCAGGTGAATTTCAGCCATGGAAGGAGAAGAGGGGGGAAGGACAAGTGACAGGCGGGCTTGAGAAACAGCTGGAGGGGAGCGAGCCCAGGGAAGAAGGGACATGAGGCCTGACAGGCAGCAGGGGACCAGATCTGACATTCAGAAGAGCGGCACAGCCTACAGATGCCTTTCTGAAATCATCAGCTTATTGATGGTATTTAATGCCATGAGACAGGGTGAAATCACAGGGGGCAGACGGATCACGGGTTCTTAACCTTTTTTGGTTTCACGGACCTCTTTGGTAATCTGCCTATAGAGTCCTTCCTCCAACCCCGGCTTCTGACATCCAGTCTCCTCCTCCTCCTCCAGCACCCTCTGACCCGCCTGCCTCCCTCTTATAAGGATGCTTGTGATTACACTGGGTACACCTGGGTAACCCAGGCTCCTCTCATCTGAAGACCCTTAATATATATGTTTTTTTAAGACAGTTTTGCTCTTTAAATTTTTTATTTTTTTGAGACGGAGTTTCGCTCTTGTTGCCCAAACTGGAGTGCAATGGCACGATCTCGGTTCACTGCAACCTCCGCCTCCGGGTTCAAGCAATTCTCCTGCCTCAGCCTCCCGAGTAGCTGGGATTACAGGCGCGCACCACCACACCCAGCTAATGTTTTGTATTTTTAGTAGAAATGAGGTTTCCGTGTTAGCCAGGCTGGTCTCGAACTCCTGACCTCAGGTGATCCGCCCGCCTCGGCCTCCCAAAATGCTGGGATTACAGGTGTGAGCCACCATGGCCGGTCTAAAATATTTTTAAAGTTGTGATACAGTTGATAGTGTTGCTACAAACTTAGAGGCTCAAAAGAATGCAAAATTTGTACCTTACCTCTGGGAGGCCAGAAGTCTGCAGTCTGACTGAGGCAAAATCAGGGTGTCGGCAGAGCCACGTTCCCCCTGGAGGCTTGAGGGGAGAATCCGTTGAGTTTTCCAGGCTTTTTTTTTTTTTTTTTTTTTGAGACAGAGTCTCCCTCTGTCGCCCAGGCTGGCGTGCAGTGGCGCAATATTGGCTCACTGCAACCTCCACCTCCTGGGTTCAAGCGATTCTCATGCCTCAGCCTCTTGAGTAGCAGGGATTACAGGTGACTGCCACCATGCCCGGCTAATTTTTTGTACTTTTAATAGAGAAGGAGCTTCGCCATGTTGGCCAGGCTGGTCTTGAATTCCTGACCCCAAGTGATCCGCCCTCCTCAGCCTCCCAAAGTGCTGGGATTACAGGCGTGAGCCACCACGCCCAGCCTCTTTTTCAGCTTCTGGAATCTTCCTGCAGTCCATAGCTCCTGGTCCCTTCCTTCAAAGCCAGAGTGTAGCATCTTTGAGTCCCTCCTCCTCCTCCTCCGACAACCCCGGCTTCTGACATCCAGTCTCCTCCTCCTCCTCCTCCAGCACCCTCTGACCCGCCTACCTCCCTCTTATAAGGACGCTTGTGATTACACTGGGTACACCCGGGTAACCCAGGCCCCTCTCATCTGAAGACCCTTAATTTAATCACAGTAATCCTAAGAAAAAAGATTTTTTAAAGCAAAAATTAATTAATTTAAAAAGAAAACTGCCTTTGGTCAGTGAAAGCCTCTTCAGGTTCGTCCTCGGTTCTTTTGACAGGACCTAGAAGACTCTGAGCACTTCCTTGCCTACCCTGCCACACACATCAGTGGTGTTTCCTCCAGAGCTCAGATGACAGAGAGTCCTTATTCTTTTAATGAAGTCAGCATAACATTAAAATCCGATAAAATAGCATTAGAAAGAGATAGCTTCAGATCAAATACATTTTAAACAGTCATGCGTCACTTAACAACAGGGAAACGTCTAAGAAATTTGTTGTCAGGCGATTTTATCATTGTGCAAACATCATTTAATTACACAAACCTATAGGGTAGAACCTCCTACCCACCTGGGCTCTATGGTATGGCCTATTACTCCTAGGCCACAAACCTGTACAGCATGTTACTTGTGAAAGTTGATTATATAACTTGGGTCATTCTTTTTTTTTGTTTTTTTTTTTTGAGACAGAGTCTCGCTCTGTCACCCAGGCTGGAGTGCAGTGGTACGATCTCAGCTCACTGCAGCCTTCACCTCCTGGGTTTAAGCCATTCTCGTGCCTCAGCCTCCCAAGTAGCTGGGATTACAGCTGCCCACCACCACACCCTGCTAATTTTTGTATTTTTAGTAGAGACTGGGGGTTTCACCATGCCCTTGGCCAGGCTGGTCTCAAATTCCTGACCTCAAGTGATCTGCCCACCTCGGCCTCCCAAAGTGCTGGGACTACAGGCATGAGCCACCATGCCCGGCCTTTTGAATTGGGTCGTTCTTGTCGGACCCAATTAAAACAGTTGAGAAGCTAGGGGGAAAAAGCTCTTAGAGCACATAACACAGGTCCCAGAATGCAATTCTCTGCAAGCCTGGCGGCCAAAACGGCCTGCTCTCACCTGAAACCAGTTTTATCTAATGGCTTCTGAAACCTCCTGCTACTGCTCTAAATCTAGTTTTACCTACTGAAGCCACTTACCAGTCAGAGCGTGCCAGCTCCCCAACACTCTACTAGTGCCAATGGACTTTCTGGAAAAACAATGCATAGCATTTCTCCTTTCTCTTCTTGTCGGACAGACAGGTCTGGCTGTTACTCAGGCTGGAGTGCAGGGGTACAATCATGGCTCACTGCAGCCTCAACCTCCTAGGCTCAAGCGATCCTCCATCTTCAGCCTCCCAAGCAGTTGGACTACAGGCTGGGGGCCACCACACCCAGCTTATTTTTTATTTTTTTGTAGAGATGGGGTCTCACCATGTTGTCCAGGCTGGTCTCAAACTCCTGGGCGCAAGCGATCCTCCTGCCTCTGCCTCCCAAAGTCCTGTGATTACAGGTGTGAGCCACCACACCTGGCCAACATTTCTCCTTTTTATAAAACCTCCTCTTTGTTCTTTGGACATATTGAAGACCAGTCAGTCTGTGTGTATGCCCGAAGTTACAATTCTGGTATCCCAAATAACATGAGAAATTTAGGGATTCATCTCTATATTTTAATTTTGACTTCAATATACTGCACTGAATACTGTTGGCAGCTGTAACACAATGGTAAGTATTTGTGTATCTAAACATAGAAAAATTACAGTAAAATACGGTGTAAAAGAGAAATAGGCTGGGTACAGTGGCTCACGCCTGTAATCCCAGCTACTCAAGGCTGAGGCAGGAGGATTGCTTGAACCCGGGAGGCGGAGGTTGCAGTGAACCGAGATTGCGCCACTGTACTCCAGCCTGGGCGACAGAGCAAGACTCCTTCTCCAAAAAAAAAAAATAATAATAATAAAATAAAATAAAACAAAATAAAATAAATTTTAAAAACAGAGAAATAGTGCTTTCTTCAGTAGCACACATACTAAAATTGGAACAATACAGAGATTAGCATGGCCGCTGTTTAAAAATTAAATTAAAAAAAAATTGACTGGGCACAGTGGCTCACGCCTGTAATACCAGCACTTTGGGAGTCTGAGGCGGGTGGATCACAAGGTCAGGAGTTCAAGACCAGCCTGGTCAAGATGGTGAAACCCCATCTCTACTAAAAATACAAAAATTATCCAGGCATGGTGGCGAGCACCTGTAATCTCAGCTATTCGGGAGGCTGAGGCAGAGAATTGCTTGAACCCAGGAGGTGGAGGTTGCAGTGAGCCGAGATGGCATCACTGCCTTCCAGACTGGGCGACAGAAGGAAGGCTCTGTCTCAAAAAAAAAAAAGCAAAAACAAAAATTGCTGGGTGTGGTGACTCATGCCTGTAATCCCAGCACCCTGGGAGGCAGAGGTGGGCGGATCATCTGAGGTCAGGAGTTCAAGACCAGCCTGGCCAACATGGTGAAACCCCGTCTCTACCAAAAATACAGAAATTAGCCCGGCACGTTGGCAGGCATCTATAATTCCAGCTACTCGGGAGGCTGAGGCAGGCGAATCACTTGAACCTGGGAGGCAGAGGTTGCAGTGAGCAGAGATTGTGCCACTGCACTCCAGCCTGGGGGACAGAGTGAGGCTCCGCCTCAAAAAAAAAAATAAAATAAAAAACGGTACACTTGTATGGGGCATTTACAGGACTGGAAGTTGTTCTGGGTGAGTGGGGAGTGACTGTGAAGGTTTAGGACATTACACACTGTTGGAGACTTTATAAACACTGCACACTTAGGCTATACTAAATTTATGAAAAGTAATTTTCTTTCAATAATAAATATTAGCTTACTGTAACTTCATAATTTTTTTAACTTTTTGACTTTTTTTGTAATAACACTTAGCTTAAAACACAAATATTATACACCTGTACAAAAATATTTTCTTTATATCCTTATTCTTGACTTTTAAAATTCTATTAACAATTTTTTTTTGTTTTGAAATGGAGTCTCACTGTCACTCAGGTTGGGGTGCAATGGTGCGATTTTGCCTCACTGCAACCTCCACCTCCCGGGTTCAAGTGATTCTCCTGCCTTGGCCTCCTGGGTAGCTGGGATTACAGGCGTGCGCTACCATGCCTGGCTAATTTTTGTATTTTTAGTAGAGATGGGGTTTCACCATGTTGGCCAGGCTGGTCTCAAACACTTGACCTCATGATCCGCCCACCTTGGCCTCCCAAAGTGCTGGGATTACAGGCGTGAGCCACTGTGCCCGGCCATATTAACAATTGTCTTGATGAATTCAGAAGTCCCACAGGTTTACAAAGCTTTTTTTTTTTTTTTTGAGACAGAGTCTCTCTCTGTCACCCAGGCTGGAGTGCAGTGGCGCAATCTCGGCTCACTGCAAGCTCCGCCTCCCGGGTTCACGCCATTCTCCTGCCTCAGCCTCCTGAGTAGCTGGGACTACAGGCGCTCGCCACCGCGCCCGGCTAATTTTTTGTATTTTTAGTAGAGACGGAGTTTCACCATGGTCTCGATCTCCTGACCCTGTGATCCGCCCGTCTCGGCCTCCCAAAGTGCTGGGATTACAGGCGTGAGCCACTGAGCCCGGCACAAAGCCATTTTTAAATTGTGAAATATTTCAGACACAATCAGTTTTATTTTTATTATTACTTTTTAAGCTATACCTACTGGGATGGGAGACAGTTTTAAAACTTAATGATTTTCTTGGATGTTGCTGTTTTTAACTCTGCAAGTACTTCAGTTCTGCCAGTGCTGCCCTGAGCACTGGGGCTGGGAGAGCAGGTAGCAAGGGCTAGCACTCTAGCACTGGATACAGCATAAAGACATATTTCTCTTCCCCTTCAAACTGGCTGTCCCTGTAACCAATAAAATGTGGCCCATGTGACACTGGGTGATTTCTGAGGCTGGCCCTCCAGAGATCCAGCTTATGCTGTCCTTTATTTGGGAATGCTCCTTCTTGTAATCCATCTGCCATGCTATGAGGAAGCTCAAGCAGCCACGTGGAGAGCCGCAGGTACAGGAGAACTAAGAACTAAGGTCCCCAGCTAGGAGCCTGCACCACATTGCTGGCTGAGCAAGTGAGGCCATTTTGGACTTTCCAGCCATTCCAGCACTCCATCCAATACCATCTAAAGCAGAACTGCCTGGTCAATCCACAGAATGAGGGGGAGGAAAATAGTCGTCTGGGGCAAATAGTTGTTGCTAAGTTTGGGAACAATTTGTTATAAAGCAGGCCATGCACTGTGGCTCACTCCTGTAATCCCAGCACTTCGGGAGGCCAAGGCGGGCAGATCACCTGAGGTCAAGAGTTCGAGACCAGCCTGGCCAACATGGCGAAACCCCATCTCTACTAAAAATACAAAAATTAGCTGGGCATGGTGGTGGATGCCTATAGTCCCAGATACTCAGGAGGCTGAGGCAGGAGAATCACTTGAACCTGGGAGGCAGAGGTTGCAGTGAGCTGAGATTATGACACTGCACTCCAGCCTGGGCATCAGAGCGAGACTCTGTCTCAAAAAAAAAAAAAAAAAAATTGTTATAAAGCAACAGATAACCGAGGGTGTGGATTATCACAAGTGTGAAGTAACTTGGTACCTCCTTTCTCCCTCACTCCACCTGATGGCTTCCCACTCGGCTGCCACTAATACCTTTCTAGATTCCTCTACTGTGTGCTGGGATGGAGAGTATGGCCTTTGGAGTCAGACAGCAAGTGGGTTCCATTCTAGACCTTGCACTTTCTAGCTGGGTAACTTTAAGTACAACACTTCCCTTCTCTAAAAGGTACTGAGAAGGCTAGATAAGGTTTTGTATACTCATAACCTACAGATGTGTCATTTCTCCAGGCACAGACCCTGGGAACATACGGCAGGGGGTGGGAGTGGTAACATACACAGCTTCTTGCTCACATAGGATGTATTCTGATTGGTGTCTGCCCCACCCAAGCCACCCATTTCACCTCCAGCCAGGGAATTTCCATTTCCCTTTTTTTTTTTTTTTTTTTTGAGACAGAGTCTTGCACTGTCGCCCATGTTGGAGTGCAGTGGTGTAATCTTGGCTCACTGCAACCTCTGCCTTCTGGGTTCAAGCAACTCTCCTGTCCCCACCTCCTGAGTAGGTGGGATTATAGGCGCCCACCACCATGCCCAGCTAGTTTTTTGTGTTTTTAGTAGAGATGGGGTTTCACCATGTTGGCCAGGCTGGTCTCGAACTCTTGACCTTGTGATTCGCCCACCTCAGCCTCCCAAAGTGCTGGGATTACAGGCATGAGCCACCGCACCTGGTCTCCATTTCCCTTTTTGTTGTTACATCTCAAGAGTGTGAGAAGTGCGGGGCTGGGGGACGGATAGCATTAGGAAAAATTTCTAACGTAGATGACAGGTTAATGGGTGCAGCAAACCACCATGGCACGTATATACCTATGCAACAAATCTGCACGTTCTGCACATGTACCCCAGAACTTAAAGTATAATAATACTAATTTTAAAAAAGAGTGTGAGAAATTTCTTCCATCTAGGACTCTCCATCCCATTCTCCCAGACAGCCCATTACTGGCTCAGATGCACCAATAAGGATTTGTTTAGGAGGGATCTCGGTGCGTGGTCTGACTTTAGAGGGAAGGCTGGCTTGCAAGGGCCAGTTGAGTGCATGCTCAGCACCAAGCTAAGACGCAGGCCCAGGCTCCTGCTGTTTGGAGATCTAGCTGGACTCAAGGGACTACACAACTCTGTCAGCCACTTCCTCCTGCCTGAAGGTCTTCACTGCACCCCAGCACAGAGACTTCTTCAGGCTGGTCGTCTCTGCAGCTGTGGGTGGAAGAGCTGCCTGGAACCTGCCCCCATTTCTCTGATTTCCTTTCTCACTCAGACTTCTCAGCTTCCACTTACCAAGCTGGGGTGCTCTCCTGGCTTCTCCTGCCAGGTGGCCCTGTCCTCTCTGTCTTGTCTTACCCTTGGGCATCAACTTGCCAGGGGCCGGCCAGCCCACATGTGGGATCTCCACCCAGAACCTTCCTGTCTGCCAACCTTTGACAACTCTCAGGGTGGGGAAAGAAAACCTCTCTCCCCCCTCCTCCCAGGCCTGACCGCTCCTTTTCCTTGGTTAATTTTCCACAGAGGCTGCCGGTAGGCTGTGTCCGACGTACACGCAGCTGCCTGGAATAGAATTCACAGCAATGACGTTATCCCTGCCGAGTCCCACTGCCACCGAACAACAGCAGACTCGTTTCCATGCGTCGGAATGAGAACCCAGATTGGAATCAGCTGTGGTTGCTAACCCTGTCTTTTTCCTCTAGGGAGAAATTGTCATTTTAATGAAACCAAGGCACAGACATGCTAAACAACCATCCCAATGTCATCAAACGAATCATCCACAGAAGCTGGAGACTAATATTGGCACTCGGGCCTGAGGCCACAGAAAATCTCCTTTCCCTCGGATGCATCTTCCTGGGTTGAAGTCCAGCTCCTAGACTCGCTCGTGTGTGCCCCCTTGAACAGAGCAGGGAGACCTGGATGCCTGGGTCCAGGAAGAGGCTGCCCAAGCTCTTAGCTGGCCTCCCCTGTAGGGGTGCTGCATCCGCCTGGCAGGCTGAGGACAGGCAGAGCCCAGATCACTGGGTCCCCTTGGCACAGACCCAGGGTCTTGGAGTGCTGCAGTTTGCAGCCACCAGAGTGCCTTCCTCCAGGGCCCCGCAGTTGATATCCGGGTTGTCCTTGCCGTCCTCAGGGAGTCTGGGGAAGGGTGGGAGGGGAAAGAGGAGAGGTGTTTAGGGTGCCGGGGCCTCGCTTCCCAGACAGACCCTCTAGCCTGTGTGCCTGTCACCTCTACCGGCCTGCGCACTGAGTGAGTCACTGCACTGGTCAGCCACATGGCACTGCATGAATTCCCAAACCTCCCTGGGCAGCTGAACCCGCATCTGTAAAACGGGGGTGACAACCCTGCTTGGGTGAACGTGCTGGGAACCCAAATAAGGAAGGAGTGAAGTGACAGGGACTCATCAGGCACCAGGCCGTGAGCATGGGCGTGGGTTGCTTTCTGAGTGGCATTCCAGGTTAGGGGAGCAGCAA